TGATATGCTTATATGTGACGCTAAAAACGTCTCAACCTGGCTGTGGGATTTTTTTTGGTCCTTACTCAAGGTGTCTAAGAAGAACTTGTGTAAGTTGGTTGATGCCGTGACTTGCTCAGCAGTTGAAGCGGAGCAGTCAAGTTGTACTCCATGCTAGTGAAGAGGATGTAAGATTTGCTGCCTTTTACTCCATGGAAACAGCCTTCAATCACCCTGAAGTAAGCTTTAGTGGTGGGAGAGGGAAGATGTGAATGCCATGGAAACCTCTGTGCTTCACTGAGGAACTGCAGTAGTGTTTCTTGTGATTTTACTCATAGGTGCTTGCAGTGGGCCATCTGATTGATAGTGGCATCTAAAGATTTTGTTCCAGTTTTGGGCAATACTCTGGCCCTGAAGACACCCACTTGTGTCTTTTCTTCTTGTATTTTTTTTTTTCTCCTTGATGCAAAATGACTCACAAACTGAGCCCTGCTATCTAGGGCCAGGGCTAAGCTATGCCACAATTAATAGAGCTCTAGTGTTGGACATGTTTTGGAGACAACGTCCCCCCTGTGTTGAAGGTAGTGTATTTTAGTGTATTAGCAAAGGTTGGTTTTGTTTGCTGTAACTAATGACAATTCTGAACCTTCTCTTTTTAGGAACTGTAGTCCTCAAAAAGACGGGTTATTTGTGTCTACCATACATACATGCTGCAGCTTTGTTGGCGTGAAACCAGGTAGGATGGCACACTTTGTTTCCTGCTAGCTCTAATCAGCCCTAGGAGCTTTCACCGCCACTTGCTTCAGCTTTGCTCGGGGTGTGGCAATGGTGTCTTTCTGAGGTGATAACACTCCTGATGCACAATCAGTGCAGTTTAAGATGTAAAGGTGTAAAGTGAGGCCCGTGACAGCTTGAAGGATTGAGTGGGGCTCCATCAGCCAGACCCTGTCTGAGCACAAACAAAAAAGTGTTGTTGACAGACAACTTTCATAAATTGCTTTGTTGAGTGTCAACTTCACTTCATAGCACGTTTTCACATGCCAGTGCTGACACTTGTGGCATAACTTGCTGGCGCAGAATGGCATGCTTGTCGTGCTGTATCTTTTTCTGCCTTTTTTTTTTTACTTGTATATTCCTGATGGTCCAAACTGGAGGCATGTTACCAGGTTTTGCCCTTGATGCATAAGTGAGAGGAGCTGTGTTGCATAGTATGTACTGCCAGAACAGTGCTGACATCACAATTAAAAAACAAATTAGGGTGAAACAATGCTTTAAACGTACCCGTATTTCTGTGCTGTGAAGTGTTTTCTGCTGTTGGACTTCTAATGTCCAAGTTCTTCCATAGCAGCATCTGTTACTCGGGGGCAAAGGTTCACTGCAGACTTAGCAGAGTTAATCGTTACCATGGGCTAGGTAAGACAAAAACATCCTTGATTTTTGTCATTTACTTTTCTTGGCCATTTTTTGTGCTCGATATTTGCCCAATGCCAACATAGCTAGGAAGGGAATTTGTCCTGCTACCTGTAGGCTAGCTAAGGGCTGTAGTCATTACAATGTTAAACTGGGTCACAGCGCTCCTTAAATGGTTGTGGCATGTGTGGCTAAAGAACGAAACAAAAGAAACATCACTCGTGAGGACTTTGACACTGAGCAATAACAGTGGGAAGCAATGAAGAGAGTGTGAGAACCTCAAAGTGGGAAAAATCTCTGTGGAATCCCCTTTTCCCTGCAGATTGGGAAGTGGCGGGTGGATAATCAACGAAGCCCACAGCACCGATGTACAATATGGCTTGGGAGAAAGCTTGCAAGGTACTTGAGTAAAAAAAAATAGAATGCATGAAGCCCTATGTGATACCTGCAAGGCATGGATCTCCTTGGGCTAGCGCAGGAATTTGGAGGGCGTTCAGGCACCCAGAGCTGAGCAGCTCCCAGTCAGGTGCTGCTGCAGGTGGACACTGTGGAGCTGGGCTGCGCAGCCTCACTGGATTTTTGGGTTATCCTGATGTCAGGAGTCCCTGCGTTACACCATGAGCTGATTTCTGCAGCTTCCTTAGAGGTCAAGAAGTGCAGGGGATTTCCTAAGGGGTGTGGGATGGTTTTATCAAGGTTTGGGCCACCGTATGTGGCTCACAGTTTGCCAGGGCTGAGCAGGCAGCAAGGAAAGCCAGCGCGCGCTTAACAGCACGTGGCAGAAGACCTGCTCTGAGGTAGCACAGGCCCTGGGTGCGAGCAGGATTAATTAGCTGTTATTATGGGCCAGCTCAGTGCGTGTTGCATGAAGGCGATTAGCTCAGACCCATAGGACCGAAGGAGCAGATTATTTTAACATTTCGGCCTGAATGTGGCATTTCCAGGGACTCTAGCAATGAGTTGGCCAAAGAAAATGAGCAAGGCAAAAGCCCAGTGTGGGAAGTGATAAGTGAGAGACACACACAATGGAAAAATAAGCCCATGGCACAACTGGATCGGCTGTTGCCCACAGCATCAGTGACCTTGGCAAGTTGCCCATGGCTGGGGCTAGAAGAGGCTCATGGTACCAAGGTGTGCCATGGCTGCTCTCTTCTGCAGTAGGTGCGGGGCTTTACCTCCAGGAGGGCAGCTGAGAAAGGCCATGGCTCAGTGCCTAAACCATGGCCTGGGTGTTTGGTGGCTTGGTTAGTTGAGAGACCTGCTAGCCCAAGATGTTGGTCTTAAGGCTCTGTTTCTTTGAATGTACCTCTCTCCAGGGAGTAAGCAGTCCTCACCTCCCCCCCCGCCCCGCACCCATTAATTTGGGGTGGTCTCTAGTTTGTGAGGGTGCTGAAATGTAGGCAATGGATTGTATCTGGTGGGGTATGTTTCCAACCTGAGGAAGCGACCTTGCCCCAGTGTTGTGGGACTGGGGGGTCTGAGGAGGGCAGGAGTCACAGAGGCACAACTGGAAGCCCCAAATAACCCTCGTTGGTGCTTGTTGTTGGCACTCAGGCACTGGTGCCCTCTGTGTCCCTACAGCACGGAAGGGCCGTCCGCAGGTGCAGCATTAGGCAGCGGAGCCATGGTTAAGAGGCTCTTTATTTCAAGGTTTCAGCTTTGCAAAACACAAAAGGACATGCTTGAAATTCATTCCTTCATGCTGATCCTGGGAGTCTTCCATAACCTTGAAATTTGGCGCTCTCCTTAGCTTTCCTCGCCTGCTCTGTGCTGTACAGAGCCGCTCACCGAGCCCTGCCGCACACCAGGGCCGGCACGTGCCGCGTGGGACTGGAGGTGCCCGGGTCGACAGCCCTTTCGCCTGGAGCATCTCAGCCATCCCAGGCACTCCCCGTCTCCGGCAGCCACAGCAGCTTCACAGCGTGTAGCCATCCGCCAGCTGAGGCATTGGCCGTGACAGCAAAGAAACCTCAAGAATTAAGGTGGTTTTTGGCATTTCATGTGTGCTCATAATTTTTGAACGCCAAAAACACCTCCCCCTTCCCGGCTTGTAACAGCAAGGCTTCAGGCTGTGTAATGGGCCGTTCTGACCCGTTACCCCTCTCCAGGCCCTTGGGCTTACTCATTTTGCTTTTCACCTCTCACAGGAACTATAACCACGGCAAAAACTTCCCAGCCAGGGCAGTGCCTGTTCGTGTAACACCAACTGTATGGCCCCCTACGATGTGCTGCTCTTGCCTGCAAGCCCTGGGTGCCAAAAGAGGTCAGAGACTGAAGTTAATGTGTGTTGGCAAAGGGCACCTGCCTGTATCACCCTGTTTCAGTACCACCCATGGGAGCAAGGCTGTGTGGTTCACCGCTGACCCCCAGACTACAAGGAGAGAAAGCGCCAGACAGGGAGAGACTTACAAACCCCCAGTAATACCGAGCTGCTGCGAGTGGGCTCAGTGCTGAGCATCCCTCACCCCGCTGCCCTCTTCCTTGCCTTTCCCTCTCAGTGAATGCGTTACCTCTGAAGTGCTTCTCCAGCATCTGCAGCTCTGGAGACTTGTACCCACACCCATACCCCGATTGCCGCAGCATCTCAGGGGTTCTCATCCCCTAACGGGCTTGGCTGCGATAAGGGGTTTGTAGTCTCAGCTTTCACCATGTGTAAAATGAGATGTGTGGAGCCTTACCACACAGGGAACACCCGGCTGCTGGAAGGAAACAGCAGCATCTCCTTGCCCTGGCACAGCTGGACATGAGCAACCACCCACACTCCCCTGTAGCTGCCCCCTCCTCTGCACACCCCACCTACTCCCTCCCCGCAACCCTCTTCCCATCGCTGAAATCCCTGCCACCCCCTCACACAGCACACGCCTCATCGTTGCCATCTGACAGCAAGGATTTCAGTAGCGTTTCTTGCTCCAGTTTGTATTTTCAAGCAAGCAGCCATCCCTCCTTCCCTTCATCTTCTAACTCTTCCCTTATAAATATGATCACTTCATCCTGCGAGACTTGAAAACCCATTTCCAAAATTCCCCAGGCAACTAATACAGTAAAACAAGCCTATAAATATAAATAATTATGATAAAAAGGCATAAAATGCCAGACTTGGGTCAAACATACGCACGTAGTGACACTAGCAACAAATAACTACGCAGTGTTTGAATGTAGGTGGAAAAAGCTGAATACAGAGTAGCTAGTTTGTTGCCCATAACTGTCAGACTCCTAATTCGGACAGGCCATATTTTATTGATAGCAGAGCAAACACAGTCATAATCCGTCCCTACCTTTCCTGCTTTGTGAAAAATCCTATCCATCCCCAGGGAAGCAGGGACGGAAAAAACCAGTGGTGTGAACGTGAGGTGAAAGTATAAGACAGAAAGCACAGTCCCAGGCTGTGTTTCCCAAGTGTTTCTCGCACATCATATGCTAAGTTCAATTTTCCAAAAGCTTTGTTTTATTTTTAAAGGTAACATCTTTATTATTATTATTATTATATTTATTAGTTGTTGTTATTATTATTATTATGCAGAGATGAGATTTTTTTTCCCCCTTTGATCACAGAGCAAACAGTTTGCTTTTGAAAATGTTAATGGAGTCCTGATTTAAAACATTTTTTTCTTCACTTTTTTTTTTTTCTGTTGTTTTTGTTTTTTAAAACGTTGCAACAGGCAGGATCTGGGGTTCAATTTCCTCGTCCTACACAAAGAAAGATTCCGGAGTTCGGACTCCTAGCCACTACCGGTAGGTCCTGCCTTGCTCAGTTGTCGTCGTCTCAGTGTGGTTTCGCCAGGTGGGGTGGGTAGGTGGGTGGGAGGGGAGGAGTTGGAAGAAGGGAGGGTATTTGTCAGCTATGTCGAGTCTTGGTTAACAACTTTGCCTCCATTCATGGTTGGTGTCCCTGAACTTTTCCTTGAGCGTCCTTGTTTTTCTCCAATTTCATGCAGCGATGGCTCTCTGTACATGCACACTGCAAACAGAAAAGACACCCGTTAACAGCCCTGAAGTTACAGACACTAATGACCATAATGAATTAGTTCTTTGTATATGAGGCTGAAATTCCAGCCCCAATACAAACACACACACACACACTTACGGAAACCTCAGTGGCCCAGCAGTAGATCCTGGTACCAAGCAGGATCTGTTTCCTGCCCTCGCTGCCAGCCAGATCCTCCTTCTGTCTCTGGATTCTTTCAAAGGCACTGGTAGCAACAGGGGATTTCTCACAGGTAAGTTTTTCTAGGTTTTCTGTGCTTTGCTTTTTTTTTTCATGTTATATTCATATATATACAATAAACATTCCAGTTCACAGCACCATGTATCGCCTCGAGATGCTGATTGCCATCTAATAACAGGTTCAAGAATTACCCGGTCCCCAGTCCTTAACCTCCAAGAAGCCCTTCAAAGTCTTGAATGAAAACTGCACTTGCACCTGAGCCATCCAAGCCTTCTGGGTGTTAAGCTTTGGATCTGGAAGTGGTGGCTCAAGCCCATTTGGCTCCTTTGGCCAAGAGCTGAGGTCTGCTCTTAGCACTTCTAATTTTTTCCCCTGTAAATCAAGACATCCAGCCAAGGCCGTGAGCAGACACATGGGGATGAGCGCGGTGACAGCAAGTCAGGAGCCATCTCAGCTCTGCGTGGTCACCTGGCAGCACCTGAGAACAGGGCACCTTCGCTCCAGACCCTGGCTAAGCAATGTGCGTGTCCTGTAAAAATGTACTTGCAGGAGCCTAGACAGCCTGAGAAGGCAACGTCTGCCCAAGGCATGGCACATACCCATGTCCTGTGCAGCACAAAGCATTTATCCAACTCACCATGTGGACCAAGTCCTCATGGCTGTCCTCATGTCGCGTGAGGTGTGCCAGAGCAGGGGCACACGCTGAGCGGCTCAGCGGCTCGCACCACAGAGAGCATCTCTGATGAGCTCATCGCAAATGCGGTGGGGTGTAGATGTGATTGAAATAGTGAGGCTTTCTCAAGGGCAGCCACATCGGAGTTGAGAACTTGCGGTAGGTCCAGACTGCAAATGTCATGACTGGATCTTTGCAAAAAATTAGGATAGAAAGAAATGGTTGTGTGCTGCTTCATTTCGTAAAGCTGTCATGTCACGAACAATGGCACAGAGCTCAGCTCAGCAGGTTTTGGTTCTGGGCAATCAACAAGAACAAAATTTCAAAAATTATCTGAAGAAATGAAAAAAACACCCCATGTTTAATAAGGTGATGTAAGCGCTCGTATTTATAACCTCCCCTGATTTGCAAATAAATCCTGGCAATTAGAGGCAAGCTACAAATGACATTATTGCTCTGCATTTTACTCCTAGTTAGATAAACAGTTATAGCAGTGTGCAACAATACAGGACAGAGATAAAGTGCAGTCAACTGTGTATTAATAGGAAGAATATTGCATTGAATATATGAGCAGTGAAAAAATATTACTTTTCCCATAGAGCATTTTTCATGCAAGGCTTTCAAAGCAGTTTAAACACACACACAAGCTGGGCCTCCCAGTGTGGCTGCAAGGCAGGCACCGATCTACAAACTATTATTGCTACTGGAGCCATTTTTTGATGAAAATGAGAGGAAAGGGAAAATGAATGACTGGTCCCATGGGTCTGGGCCAGGATGAATGATGCCAGGACTGCCCGTCAGCTGCCCAGACTATTGGTGCTGTCTGAATTTGCAGAGAAAGCGTGTAGCAAGGCGGTAACAGAAGGAAAAGGGATCTCGCATCCCCTTTCAGCTGCTGAGCTGCCCCTCACACCTTGCTGGGTGTCACTCAACAGCCTGGTGATGCTGAATTTGCCTGTTGCGGAGAAGCACCTAGTAAAACGGTTGAAGAACAATGCAAAGGTTAACAACCGAGAAAAACCTGTGCTCTTATGATTTCTTAGCCTGAGATGCAGAGCCTTTTGATGACACTGAGGATGCACATCACTTCCGTGCCTCACCTTGTTCTCTGATGTGATGTTTGCCCAGCAGAGTTGGGTATTTGTGCTGGCATTGCCCCAGTGCCCCTAACATCCCATACACTTCTGCCTCAAGTGCAGTGTCATCTTCACCCTCACCTCCCTGGTCCCAGGCTGGAGCTGGAGGGACCCAGCAGGCGTTTCCCTGAGGAAACTAAGTACGTAAGCACGTACTAAGCTCATCTCACCCGCACCCATCCCCAGCTCCCCATCGGGCTGGGCCAGATGCTTAACCACAAGGGCTGAGCCCGAGCAAAGTCCGCAACAGCAGCACCACAGCACGTTGCCTTTCCTCAGCTCCCAGCCCTTTTGCCTCTTTGGGCAAAAACGCCGAGCTGCTAACAAGGACCACAGAGTAATGAATATAAATCAGGCTACAGAAGTAAACAACGCTTGCAGCTAAAAATTAAGGAAACCCTGTACCTAGCAAGCAAACAGGGCAGGAATTCTAAGTTTATCTTCCAGTCTAGTGCATGATATGAGGACTGACATGGGGCATGGCTGGAGGCTGCTCACATTGTGCTTTTCAGACAGAGCTGTCAAAGCCTCTGTACCACACAGGCTGTGCCAACAGACCATGCCAGAAAAACTGCAGCAGCATAGGACAAGCGTGTTTTCAGTATTTAGATACACCTACAGGACCAGTGTGTGCAGTATTTATATGGCATCACGCACAAGATAGTGCCTGGATATTCTCCTACACAAGAGGCTTGTGTGCGTGTGTGGAGCCATGGCCATCGCTTGGTGGTGGCTGCAAACCCTCGTGCGCTGCGACACGGTGTGTGTGCGCACAGACACAGGGGTGTGTATGCACACAGCCGCACGCGCGTGGGGTTTAAGGACAGCGGGACATGCTGTGCAACACAAGCCCTTGGACTGCGGTTTGTTACTCCTTGTACTGAGGATGCTCGAGTGTGACTCAGGCGCGGAGATGTTAGTCATGGACCGGGGAGGGGGGTGGTGTTTGCAAATGGAATGTTGCGCGTGCCCAGATCTTCCCAGCTTTAAAGTACATCTTGGGGGTTCAGGACTAGCGGCACTCACTGACAGATCTGTTTGGGGTCCCCACGCGTGAGTGTGTATGAAAACACGCTGCCCCCGTCACCTGCATCAAGGTAAACTAGCAGCAGCGTGACAGTCGGCGTGCCCAGACGCTTGGCAGGTCTGCCGGTGCACGCAGCACAAGACAGCTTTGGAAGGATGAGCGACTTGGCTGGGACGAGAGTCCTCTCCCTGCTTTGCCTTGCTTCTCCCACCCACCCACACCCACACACCAAGCCAAATACAGCCCTTAATGTCTGGAAACCAAGTTAATGCTTTGGAGCTTCAATCAGATAATCAGCTCCTATGTCCCAGATTCTAATCAACACATCCATATTCATGCTTTAATTGAAAAGTGCCGTTAGCTTCATCTGCTGAAGAGCCACAGGCATAACTGGAAGGGGGTGGGAGGGAGCGGAGCTGTGCCCGTGTCTGGTTCTTGCGGCTTTTGATTCTCTGCTTCCCTGCCAACCCGCAGTGCCTGCCACTTGCACGCACAAGGAAACAATTTTGTACAAAGAAAAAACTTGCAAATCGGGCAGGAAGGAGACCAGGGGTCTGGGGGGAGTGGGGAAGCAAGGGGGAGGGGGGCAGCAGGGAGCATCCTTCCCCAAGGCGAAGGCGTGGAGGGGGCTGCCTGTCACCCAGGAACAGCTCCATCTCTCGCCCATGCGCTGGCACAGGATCCCAACCTCATTTCTGCTTCCCAGGCAGAGCACAGGCACACCACCCACACGGGGAAACCGAAATCACCCCGTGCGGCTTCCCTGGGTGTCAGGGACTGCCTGAGTTTGGGAAGCACGCACCACTTTGTGTCCTGATCCTTGTATTTCTCACTTGGCATCACCGTCAGTTGAGGAGGTTCAGGGGATGCAACAAACCCCATTTCCTCTCTCTAGAATACAGGGAAAAACTTATTGAAGGACTGTAGACATATCCCATCCATCCAGCTTCACTCCTGGCTTTCCCTGGCCCAGACCCTAGCGAGTTAGGAGGAAGCCAATTTTTCCCAAGTTGCCGTTTAGTGGGTAGGCAGGTCGCTAGCGCTGCAGGACCGACCGCCACGTGCCCCGATGGCAGCCTGGACCGGTGTCTGGGCAGGGCGAGGAACGCGTCCTCTGGCTGGCAGCGCAGGAGTCGGGCTCCTTCCCTTGACAGATGCCACCACTCCGGGTGTCAGTATCTGCAGTAGCGGCTGCATTAGCTAATGCTTCGGTGGAGAGAATTAATTATCTGAGCAGCGGCTAGGGGCAGGAGGGAGCAAGTGATTATGCACCCTCGTTTTCTGCCTCTAATTACTGTGTTCTAAACCCCGTCCCAGCTGATGCATTTCAGAGGCATTTGAGCTCGCGTCTATCCAGCGGCTAAATGTGCAGGATGTTGCCAGATGGAATCACAGTTTGTTCAGGTAAGAAACACAGCGCAGGATGACAAAAAGCCAGGTGAAAGCATAGTTAAAATACATTGCATTTGCAATCTAATCAGATGATCAGGAGTTTGACAGATGAACAAGTGAGTTGCTGTGGGATTGAAAACATACCGCAGCCTGCCCACTTGAAAGACAGACCCAAAAGAGGAGCTGTATTAAAAAAGACCGATAAAGAGTGTAGGGTTTGTCTTTTTTTTTTTTTTTTTTTTAAAGAACGCTTTTTAGGATGCTTTGTGGATTAAGGTGATACCTTTGAAGCATTTTCACTAGGCCTACTGCATCTTCCTACTCAACAGTGTCTTGTACTTCTTTGCAACACCTGAGGACTCCGCTTTAACAAAACTGGGATGGTGCATCCCTGGGAAAACACACTGGGAAAGATCTGGCTGCTGTTCTGTGTACACAGATATTCATCAGTGGTAATAAATGAATCAGAGTAGTCATTAACAGGTCACCTTCATATCTGAGATGTGTTCACATCATGAGGGCTGAAGCACCATGAGTCTGGAGCTAGGGACAGCTCTGCTGACTCAGACGGAGGAAGACTTGTCTTCTGCTTTTTGTGGCCGGATTTGCCACCCCAAATTCATTCTGGCTTGGGCCAGGTGAGAGGTGAAAGAGAACTCTTTTGGGAGAGCAATCTGGAAATGATGTCTTCAAGGAGAAGGAAATATAAATAACAGAGCACATCCACAATAAGCATCTGATAAAATTCTCACTTAAAGTGACTGGAAAAGTCTCCCGCTGTTTGAGACAGGTTGGGATATTTAAAAGAACAAGAGGCACTGTGGACAGCAGTGTTTGTCCAGCACTAATCACTACAGACACTTAAAGAGACTGAAATTGCTTTAAAGGATTGCTTGGTGTCCAAGTGACAATTATACTCAAGCTAATTTCTTGTGCAGTCTGGTTCAATCTGTATGTCTGCACTTTAAGGGCTCATTTAGCTCGAATGATCAAGGATCAGAAATAAAAATATCAAAAAAAATGTGTTGCGTATGTGTGTTTTTAACCAAAACTGGCACCACACAGTACATTAGCTGCTGCCTGCCAGGCTGTTTGCCTTGGCTTTCCCTGTGCACAGATGGGACAGGAACTTAACGTTTCCCCTGTTATTACTTAGTAAGTTTTTTGTGCTTTTATATTGATTAAGCTTAATGCTACTTCCAAAAAAACAAACAAACCCGACCTACACTAAACCAAAAAAACCCTCCTACCAACCAAACCCCCAAACTTTTCCAGTTGGTATCTAGTGACTTTCACACGGAACACCTCCAGCATCCTGGCGACCTACAGGAGTCAAAACACTCTGTGGGATTAGCACAGCATAAAGCTGTAGCTGCTAAAAGCCATAGATAGCACACATGCATACACAAATACCACTGTATGTATGTATGCACATGTTGTCCTTGGCAATTATCTGGGAGGGTATTTCATCTCTATTTATTAGTTTACTGCCCATTTGCATCTCTGAGGAGAGGACTTCTGAATTCCGAAAGCAGTACGACGCAACAGGGGTCAAACGAGCTCGGGGGGGTAATCTGGGCTTTTTCGTGTTTCCTTTCCCTGCAAAGGGTCTCTTCGCTAAGCTGCCGCATCATTTTTGTGCACCCGGCAAACAACTGGGAAGTTTCACCTCGGAGATAATTGCCATTGAAGCAGTGGGTGAAGTGATTCCTAGCAATGTATGTAACACCCCTCCTTCCCAGGGGACCAGACTCCTCCTTGCATACATTACTGTGTCAGCCATCATGTGGCTACTGCTGGTGGTGGTACCAGAGCAAAAGGAAACCTGGGTGCGTTACTGCAGGCAGAAGCTGCGAAGTACCGGCCTGAATGAAGAGCACAGCCCACACGCTGGAGCACGCCACAGCATTTAGCAGAAGGGACATGCAAATATAGCAGGAGAGTGCTTTGAATACTTCCTCAGAGTCATGACAAAGCCAAAGAAGCTGTCAGAACAGGGAAGGAATTGCCCCTTTTCTGTAACGTCTCCGCTTGCAAGCTCTGCTCGCGGAGACTTTGATGGATGCAGCACGAAGAAGTCACGTGGAGCTGAGCGCGCTTTACTCCAGCCCTCCCCGCAAGCCGCTGCTACCGACAATGAATCTTAGGCTGGGGAACAGAGTCCTCTGTCTGGAGTCACAGTCCCAGACAGCTGAATGCTTTGGGAAGCTGACACGTGCCTCGGCTTGGGAGACTGCCAGCTCTTTGATGCAGCAGCGCTCACAGAGGCTGACTGCAAAGCATGTGGAGGAGGGAAGGGGTGGAGGAGCCCTTAATTTGGCTGCCAACTTCCAAAGCGCTCACTCGCTCGGGAGGTTATGTGACAGCTGTGATTGAAGCAAGCGTGGGAGGATGCAACTGCAGGAAAGGGAAGCTCTCGGGCTGGGCTGGGTTTTTCAAAATGAAAGTCAGAGCGGCGTTTGCTGCAACGAGAACTCCGCTGTGGGTCAGGCACCTCTATTAAGGCAAGGCTTTCCACGAGGAGAGCCGCAGGAATGGCCTGGTTTAATGTATGCAGAAGACAGTTATTGAGCCATTCTGCAGACGCCACGCACGCTATATCAAAAAAGAAGTCTGGGTTCAAAGGAACCCAGGGATCAGTGCCAACACCCAGCCAGGCAGCCCAGAAATACCAGCAGGAGCTGGAAACCCAGTTGTGAAAGCTAGTGCTTGCAAAAGACTCTCCTCCCAGCCACGGCAGGAGAGGAGATGGAAGAGAAGCTGGTGACCGACCCCGTGACTGAAGCAGACCCTGTTCCTTAGCAAAATTCAATGAGTGCTTAAGGCACCGATCTCACTAATGCCTCAGATAAACATGAAAAGGCTCCTGGCTGCAGAAAAGCTATTGAAAACAAGCACAGGACAAGAGGCTCCAGGCCGTTCTCTGCTCTTCCAACATCTCCATCTCCTGTGCAAAAGCCACAGACACTCTGGGAACGCTGAGTTCAATTTCTCTCACCGTGCTTTGCTTCAGTGGTCCAACAGATGATTTTAGCCTGCCTTCATGTACTGGCCTTTCACTCACACATGCACACTCGTCGGCCCCTGCGCCTGAGCCGGGAAGCTGTTAAAACAGCTACTAGGGCATGGACTAAGCTGTGGTCTCCACCACTTGTGAGTGGTACCTGTCAGGAAAACATCAGTTCATTCCTTCTCTCCACATGTCCAGGCCTGACCCTACAGCCAATATAGGGTTAGTGAGAGGGGACACGGAGTCATGTAGCCGAGACCAGCCCCAGGCTGCTCTGTCCCTGAGGTGGCTACTAGCAGGTCCAAGATGGGGTCAGAAAGGTGTACCTAGTTTGGGGATTGAAAAGTAGTATTTTTTCCAAGCAACAGAAAAAAAAAACCAACCAACCAAAAAAAAGAGGTCTCCTTGCTTCCAGAATCAAGTTAGTACCTGCTAAGTACTAGGCTCATCACACTACTTCTCTCCATTTACCAGGGCCCAGCCCATAAAAACCAAAATGCCCCGGCACGAGCCTGGGGCACAATTCAGCAGTGTACAGTCAGCAGCAGGAGCCCAAAACCTCAACTCCATGACTTTCACTGAAGCCTTATGCCGTGATGAAGACATATGGCGTAACAGCATCTCATCTAACTTTGGACATCTATGATAAGGTTTCTCTACCCCCCAGTGACTAACTAGGATGCCTTTACACATAAGAAAAAAAAGCAGATTTAAGTCATCTTAGAGTAGGCATATGAAGCACATCCACAGCTGTGCTGGAAGGACCCATTTCTCTTCTGTTCCTATAGAGCGTCAAAGTCTAAAACCAGGCGAGATAAATCCTATCCTTACTGACTCTACATGCGACTGGAAACCCACTGAATGACGTTGGGAAAATCCTCACAGAGAACCCAACGTTATGGTCACTGCCGGATCGGATCCCTTGTGAACTGGTGGCTGCTTGAGGGCTGCTTTCCTTTCCCAGTAACTTCTCATATTGCTGGGCTTTCAAATTCATCCTTTAGCACCCCAAAGCTGAGAAACCCCTGTGGGACGATGTGTAAGGTTTATTATATGGGAAGGAAAGGAGATGAAATGCTAACGTTGCAGCCCAGAACCTTTCTGAAATGTGACAAATATTGTCCTTGCTTTCTGGTCTTGCAGCCCAACACCCCATCCATGGAGCCCCAGTTGCAAACTCCCCCTCCCCATACCCCCCTGATGGAGGAACTCGGCAGCTTCCATACCTTCAATGGGTTTGGGTACAAAATGTGATGAGGGTTTGGTTTTTTTCACTCGGTTTCCCTTCATAATTTGACCTTCTTTATTGAGTCCCAGGAACCACGCTCGTCCGGATTCTTGCTGCCGGTACAGCGTGGAAGAATAAATAACGTAGTAGTTTTCGAAGACAGATTCCTTAAATTTGCACTCTGGTGTGAAAACATCCTGCAGTGAGAGAGAGAGAAGAAAAAGCAACGCAAGGAATTAATCACTATCTCCTAAATTAAGCATCACTGAGTGATACACGACGGTCACGCATTGCAGTTAGTATAACAATAGAAAACAACCGGCATCAGCGATACCGGCTCCCAGCAGTAACACACATCTAGAAAACTCCCCACTGAAAGGGAAAGCTCTCATTCCCTGCCAGAGCTGCAGTCTGCAAAACAGCCTACAGTGAGCGGGCATGAAAAACGTGCAGAAAAAGTCAGGAATTTGCCAGGATTTAGACTGAAATACTAAGCAACATAAAAAAAGAGAGCTGAGAAGCAGAGACGGCCTTGCTGCTCACCTGCTGCTCCCCATGCCTTCCCCTGGCTTTGCTCTTACCTTCCCTGTGATGGGCAAGAAATGTGCAATAGTTATTGCCTAAAACATTGAGGCTTCTTCAAATTTTTATGGGCAAAAGGCATTTTATTAGGGGCATTTAAGTAGATTCAGAGAAATGGGAGTACAAACGCAAGTAAACTATTTTCAAGAGCGACGGGAGGAAATGCTGGCACAAATCCTGGAAATCTTTCAGTAAAGAGAAAGAAGTAATTTTAAGCATTTGTGACACAGGTATTTCGTCAGATACTGAGAACTGGTCCCCCGCCTGCCCACGGACAGAGGACACATGGCCTGTCCTGAGACACCCCATGAGCCTGTGCTGGCTGCAAGGGTGGCTGTGACTTTGCCACTTGCGTGGCTTTGCAGAAAGTCTCAAGGAGGAAACATCACTCAGCTATGGACCAAAACTTGTTACATCCCAGTAACTTTTCAAGATTTTAACAACAGGGAAATAGCAAACCTCTTTTAAAAGAGCTGGCTGGCCAGGGGACTCTTGGCAGTGAGCTCCCAAACCTTCACTCAGTCAGATGCGGTTGCTGGTGGGTTGTTTTTTTTTCCAGACTTTGAGCAGAAAATTCATCCTGGACAAAGAAATTCTCCCACTGGGTTCCTTAAAACTATGACATTCTTGCAAAAAAACCCCTCAAGCCACAATGAATATGCATTTTCTAAAGAAAAACTGTTTTAACATCAAAGTCCCTTCTTGTAGGACCCAGAGAAGGTATCTCAGAGCCCCGCGAGAGAAGGCAGGTGCTGCTACAGGCGAGCGATGCTCTCTCCCAAGCCCTTGCCACTCAGAAGTCTTTGGGAGCTTCTCCGGCCTTGCTAACAGAAAACCCGTGACCAACATCTGAGCAAAGCATCTGGAGTAAGGCCACATATTTACTGCAGACCTCATTTAAGAGTGAACATTTTGAACATTCAGCAACACTCAGGTTTGTGTTCCCAAGTGCTTTGGGGGTTATATAAAGTGTTGCTGGTCTGATAATAAATCCAGTGTGCAACAGACCCACGGAGCCAGGCAGGCTTGAAGCCACAGAAGATAAAGCACAGCAGAAAGCGCGGAGCTGTGCTGCACACGTGAAGTTTGCATCAATCATTAGCGCCACACAGATAAAAACACCATCAGCCCAACAGGTCATTTTGCCCTATCTGAGGGAGTCTTCCTTGCCGGAGACAAAAATGTTTTAAGAAGATAGTGAAACAAGTTAGGAGAGATCTAGATGACTTAGAGCACTGTAAAACAGTGTTTGAAGTAGCTTCCCAAAAGATCAGTGTTTAAGCGCTCCTTAAGTCTGCTCTTTATCTCCAGGCTTTGTCTTGCCTCGGAAGATGCAGCTCACCCGGGAGCCCGGCAGTTTGCAGAGGCTGCCTGGCTGGGGGGGTTCTCCTTGGCGTCGCGCCCAGCCAGGCAGCAAGCCCCGCCATGGAGAGCATCTCCAAAACCAAACTGGACAAGTCAACCCTCTTTCCTGTGCCTTCCTTACCCCATCAGTAAAAACTTATCAAGAAAATTCCTTTTAGGGGGACTGAAAAGTTGGTAGGCTGTGAAGGATAGCTACCAACTTGACCGAAACATGGAATTTTTTGTGCATGAGGTATCTGGATTTTCAACATCTGTTTTTATTTCAGCGTGGAACAAAGACTATTTTTTATTTCCAACAAAGAAGATCTATAAAAGCTAATGCATTTGGGAAATGTTGTTTCAGAAAGAAAAAAAATAAATCTAGATTTTTATTTAAAGGTTATTGAAAATCAAGTTTTCAGATAAATATATCTGTTGAAATCAACACAGTATAATATTTTATGACATGCAGCAGTAGTTCATAACAGCAGATGCCATATTTGTATATCCACTTGTACCCATAAAGCAGAGTAATTATGATATTATTTTAAAGCAAACATATTTAAAGACATCAACCTAATGAAGATTTAAGAAAAATAAAGAAAAAAATAGTGTTTTCCTTTAAATGTCTTGGCTCCCCCACAAGCAAACAAAACTGTCCTATTGTTTTTGTGAGTTGCCTGGTTGATTCCTCATCCCCCACACTTCAGCTGCAATAGCACTTCAGGACACTAACCATGGCAACACCACCAAGAAACATCCCAGCTCTGTCCATCGGCAGTTTAGAAAACCCACAGATTTGGCAGCTAAGTAATGGCTAAATAATGCCATTTTTATTCATTATTATTATCCTTCTTCTTAAGTGTATCGCCTCATCAGCAACAGCTGGTGTCCCTCTGTGCCATGTAGGGACAAACACACCCCGGGACACAATTCATCCTCCCACCAAACTGACACGTTGCAGGGTGTTCACAGGTTTGAGTGCCAGAAACCTTTGGTGCAGACACTACCACGTGCAGACGTGACACAAAGAGCAAGCAGACGGAGAGGAAAAAAACCCACAGTTGACCAGAAAGGAGATGGGACAGACAAGCAGGACACAGGCCACTGCTTGGAGATATTTGGAGTGTCCTCTAAATCTATTTAACATGCAAACTATTATGTTTTTCTTCATTGATATCTTCTTGGTGGCCAACCTCAAGACTTCAGCTACATTGTCTCACTTAGTTTCTGCACGTGCCTCTTGCTCATGGCTTTGGGGCTACCAATAACAAAACGCCATTGGGATATTAATGGCAGAACCTTTCTACAAGCTTTACTGTCAAAAATTAATTGTGGCAATTATGTCGAATCAGCTGGGAACTGCTGTTTCAGTTGTCTTGGGCAGAGAAGAGCTGGGAAGAAAGAGGACAGTGCAGGTGAGCTTAACAGGCTTCACACTAATAAAGCAGTTCTTAGCGGCCACTGCTGCACAGACTGAAATCGGAGATAACTGAAGGTATTTTTGGAACAACACTGACCTATTGCCCAGACCTCCAAGGCATGCAAACTTTTTTGTTTGCTTGTTTGGTTTTTTAAGATGAATTCAGTGTTGATGAAATGTGCTTGATGGGCAGACCTGCAGTCTAATACTTTCTCTTCATCCCACAGACACAGAGTGGGTAAAACCAGCAAAGGGATCCTCAGGCTGTCCCCCCCACCTGCTTCTGATGGGACGTAAGGACATCCTCCTCCAGAGGTAATGGTATGGTAAGCCAGGGGGTCAAGAGCACCCACTTCCCTCTCTCACATGGTGCAGAGATGTTTTAAAACAGGTTTGCAATGAACCCCACTCAATTATTTTCCCAACTCTCTCCTTGACAGAAATAGCATGACCAGACAGTCAGAGGACAGATGGCTTCATCTTTTAATCACCCGTCTTTGTTCAGTCTTTACACAAAGAAATAAATGGTGACTCTATTTTCTCTACAAATCCCATAGAGCTCTCCGTTCCCTATCACAACCATCATGAACTCAGCTCACTCAGAAAACCCACCAGTTCTCATTAAAGAGCGTTCTTGTGATTTGGAGAAAAAAAGCAAATTTGCCCGCTTTTGTCTTCATGTGAAATATGTGTCTTTGACTAAACTATTTTTGCATACAAAGTAAATAAATGCATTTATTTGTTTCTTATTTGGAGATTTAGAGCCTGAGGTATTTTGTTAAATGTCTATAGATATTACTGAACGCGGTTTGAAAAAGCAGATTTTTTTAATTGTTAAAATAAAAACCTGCACGAAATATTTGTAAAAGAAATGTTAGTAATTTACATGCAAAATGATTAGCATCTGCCTGCAACTTGTTTTCTCTATCTCAATCCAATCCTTTGAACAAAAGGCAATTCTAGTAAGAAGAGTAATTAGATTTGCTTTGAAAAACAAACATAGGTCTGGTTTGTGCTAACTCTAGTTTTATTGGAAATTGCACAGTCCAGAAAAAAATAAAATGGTAGCTATCACACAGAAAATTAGAGAGAACACAATCAATGATACTTGGAATCAGAAGGAGCTAAATGGATGCAACTGCCGTTTGGGGGGGATTCAGTGTGTCAGACCTGCTCAGGGCGGGTATAAGGTACCATGGATTCCCCCAAAAGCTATTTCTGTTTTAGAAAAACAAGATAATTTATCCTTGATCCCAGTAATGTGTCCTCCTGCTATGTATAGATGGAAATGTGGATGGGACTTCCAGACACGTACAAGCCAATCTCTGTATCACTTGTCACTGTCTGGTCTTTCAAGGAGGTCCTTGGAACGTCTGGCCCCATCTGCCCCACTCCTGACAGCACACGCTAGGGGTGATTTGTGACAGGAGAGGTATTTTTTTTTTTCCAATCTACCTCAGCTTTCAGCTGCCCTGGTCAGGTAAATCTAATCCAACCTCCTAGCCTTGAATATAGTAAGTTTGATTGGACTCTCCTTTGCGCTTCTGTAAAGCTGGAGGAGCTCCACAGATGTTGGTGGAGAAGCATCGCTGTCAAAACGGCGGACATGAGGCTGCACAGTATTCAGGGAATGAACTGCCACCCTCGGACAGCTCGTCTCCTTTAAAAAAATGCTAATCCAATGGTGTCACAGCCCCGGTGCAGGCACAGCGCTGCCAGGGCAGTGGACAGCCCTGGTGCTGCTCCCAGCAAGAGAGAGCAGTGCCAGCCCCTGCCCGTACTGGGCTGGGAACATCACTGCCACTGGTGCCTTGAGCATCCTCAGCCAGGAGGTGCAAAGAAAGGGTC